AATTTTGTCCTTCTTCTTCTTCTTCACACCCTTTCCCTACCCTGTAGATATACAAATCTCATCTAATCATTTCTTTTCCTTCTCCATTGTAAACACCCCAAACAGATTCAATGTAAATCTGGTGCCAAAACAGAAGTTTTTATTTCCTTCCCCACCCTCCTCTTCCTTTCTTTAAAAAAAAAAAATCCATATTGGCAATCGATTCTACCATACACTCCCTCCATCACAATGAAATTATTTGAATTACATGTAAACACAAAACAAATACATGTATATGCATGCTGCTGGTATGTCTGTGGAGGGAGGGGGGGGTATATCCACTTCCCCAAATTTGATGATTTCCACAGATTTTGGGAGCAGGAATCCATTTTTGTTTGGGTATGGTAAATTTCAGCCGCATACACTCTATATGAATTTGCATAAATATCATTTTGTTTTTTTTTTTTTTTTTTTTTTTTTTTTAAGTACATCTGAAGACCACATTCAAGCGTGAAACTGATAGTCACATTGCAGTGTTGATTGCTATGTCCACACTGTCTATATTTATAAACCCTCTAATTTTAATATTCAACACTCTTCCAAACCTCCCCCCCACCAATAAATATGACAAATTTTAAACAATATAAAACTATTTAAAATAGGAAGTTCAAAAACTTATCTTATTGACTTCAAGTTTTGAAGAAGTAATCTGCTCATTAGAGGTTCAGATAGTTCAGTTAAATTTATTAACAGATATATATTGCTTAAGAAACACTCCATAAAAAAGTTAATCTAACTAATGTTGAATAGAGTAATGCTCCAAAACTTAGACAGGAAGATAAATTTCTGAACTTTTTAATTAGTTAATTAGTTTTTAATTTGTTTTTAATTTTCTCAATTTCTTAATATTGAACACATTATTTACAAAAACTGCAAATTTTTTTAATAATCAATTCACCCCAAGCAAGGTAATAATGCCACTAAGATGCAAGGGGCTATTGGGAGTTAAAGAGGATGTGAAGACTTTAGAAGGAAGTAGAAACTTAATCCTAAACAGGAAAGAAGGGATCAATCTCTGCACCTGTTCAGTTACCCCTTTTAAATTTAATTTTTTTTGCTTACCTTAAAAGTGTCATCATCCAGTAATACACTGGTCAATGATTATTTATTATTCTGCTATGTGTTTTCAGGATGTGGACAATTATGACTCTCCACAACTTCCTGCTCTTGTAGCATTTTTTTTTTTTTTTTGCTATCTCTCCTAGTCCCTGTTTTACCACTCATTTAAACAAGCTCATTAGAAAGGTTACTTGCTGCTTTCCTCTGTCCCTCTTGTCTTCAATATGTCCTGTGAGTATCAAATTCTCCAAGTCCTCTTTCCTCTTTCTGATTTTAAGTATAAGCAGCATTCTTTTGTAGAACCATATTTCTATTGCCTGAAAACTCTTAATCTGTGAAGAGATTGTCCATCATTTACTGCCATATAGGAGGACTGATATTATGTAACAGTTCAATACTCTTTTCTTTGTTTCTAATAAAAATTTTCCTGTTTCTTAATACTTTGCTTTGCTTTTGGAAGGCACCTTTTGTTATCCGAATGCACTTTCAGATTTCAGTGTTGCACTTTTCATCCTCTGTTAAACCACTTCCTAGATATTTAAATTTTTGTACTTGGTTGATTTTGGTATCTCCAAGTCATAGTTTGCAACACTGTCTACAAAAAGAACAGCCCAATATGTGATCATTATTATTATTATTATTATTAGTTTTAACCTATGAAAATTTAATGGTTTTCTTATTTTAATATTCTGATGAATCTTAAGTTAATGATTGAGTGAAGCTCATGGTGAGTTCTGTCATAATGAAATATCTGTCGAAATTCCCTTATCACATCATTAAATATTTGAGTGTAACAACAAAATATTGCTGGTCATTATTTTAAGAAGTGGGTACAAATGAAAAGGTTTGAAATTATTAACTTTGTCATTTCACTGAATCGGCTTTTAGACACTTCTATCTTCCTTTCTTTCTTTCATTTTCTCACTGAAGTCAAATAGTGTCTTTTCCGTTCTTTCTACAATATCAAAATGGGATTATTGAATATTTACAAAAGGTATTTTCAGGACATCATGGTTGTGTGAACTAAAAAGGGAAGAACAGGCACAATTATGATAGGATTATTATTATTATTTTGCAAAACACTATCTTTGCTATATATATATATATATATATATACACCCAAGTATATAATTGGTATATACGGAATGATTTCCAATAACCAACAATTACTATTCTTAAAAGAGTGCTCAATACAAAGTAGAGCAGATATAATTATTATTTATAAAAAAATTATAACATAAGTATGTTATAAAATCACTACAAAAATAGCCATTTTGTTTTAACACCCTCCGTGTCTTATCAAGTGATGATGTTGAAGATAAAATAAATTTATTTTATCTTCAACATCATCACTTGATAAGACATACTTATGTTATAATTTTTTTATAAATAATAATTTATATATATATGTGTGTGTGTGTGTGTTTTTCACACACATACACAAAAAATAGCGACAATTTACCCATTGCTCCCAGAGAGAGAGAGAGTGTGTGTGTGTGTATATATATATATATATATATATTATTCCTTACCATTTGGCCCTGTTTTATTACCACCAGGACACACTGTGCACTCATATATATATATATATATATATATATATATAAAAATTTTTCCTTAAAGAATTAATGGATTTATTTTTAAACTGACATTTTTATCACTCCAAATATTTTAGTGGATACTCCATGTTTGAAATAGACGTCCGGTTTCTATTTATTAAATAGTGTGTATTACATCTACTGACCTGTTCTGTGTGCATGCATTCATATCTGAAACTGAGCAGATGTATCTGAGTGACATAGATATGCTTCCTTAAAAATGTGGAAATAGAACCTTGCTTCCTGCGTCATTCTCTGCAGCTGAGTGGTAATGCACACTGGAAGTTGGTTCCCCCTAAGCGGGTGGATTCAGATTCAATCCCTGCTGGAGAATCCATTTTACTTTACTAAGATTTCTTGAATGCAAATGTGCAAGCTGATAGATATAATACACACGGTTTAATAAATAAAAATAGCATGTCTATTTCAAATATAAAGTATGCACTAAAATATGGTTACACACACACACACACATATATATATATATATATATATATATATATATATATATATATATATATAAATAAGCTTAAAGCTGCCCTATCAGCTGGCATTTAAGTTATCATGCAGAGGGCTCTTGGTTAGGCCTTCATCATAATAGGTAGGGGAGGAGTAGTTGGAGTAGACAACAATAAACTACAGAACTTAAAACTGATCACTGCATTAATATTTAAGTTTACCTTTTAAAAGTTCAATAATAATTCTTCTGCCGCCACTTAATTTAAAGACAATTTGATGTACGTAGGTCCTTACTTTCTGTGCAAACAATTATTTTTATTTCATCGATGACTTTTGCTGGATTTTGCAATTAATTTTCATTATTCCCAAATTTATTTCCAAATTATAAAAATTGTTATCGTACAAAAACATTTGTCCCAAAAAATCACCAAGAACAATCGCAGTGATGAAAATTTGGGAATCCAAAATTTCACGATTGCAGGTCTGGATCCAGCCCAGAATGTTTTTAATTTGCTCACAAAGTTGATTCCAAAATGGTATGTGTGACACACTAATATTCACATTTATATATATATATATATATATATATGATTATTACAAATTAAATTTGTCTCTTTGCTGATTGATATTATATTCAGCACCTAGACTCTAAAGTTTTCTAGATAAACTTTTGTAATTATTCAGTCCACTCATAAGGAGGTTTCAGCAATTGACTTGTTTTTCTCATTTGTCATTATTTTTTTAGAGTAAGTTTTGATGTATTTAAATTATGAGATGCTTTTATTGTTAGTGTTAGGTTTTTTTTTTGTTTTCTCTTTTTGTGTATGTGTGTGCACATGTGCGTATGTTTCAAATGCCTTTATTTCTCCTTTTCATCATTTTATTGTTTCCTTACACTCTCTCCCTATTCCTCTTTCTCTTTCATATGGGGAAAACAATATACAAATTTTTATATATCAGAAAAATTTTAGGAAAATCTATGACAAAGTGGAAAAAAAATGTGATGTGTTTAGTGCTTTAGGATTTCATCAGATTAAAGTGGTGTTTACATTGGTGTGATTACATGTGTTCTTGAAGGAGAGATGATGCTGAGAATTAAAAATTAAAAAAAATTTTTTTTTTTAAATATGCATTTTGGCAATTTCATTTTAATTTATTTTTCTTTTTGTCTACGTTTCCATCACTTTTGTTCTTAAATATCCCACATTGTTATAATAGAAGATCTGCTAAGAATGGTGAAACGTAAGACCCTGGATGTAAATTTACTGTGAATGATCTAGCAATCAAAACACTTTCTATACATATTTGTCTTAGTAAATTGTATTCTCCTTGAATTAAAGTAGCATTATTTTAAATCAAAATTATGGTCAGAAACATGGTGAGCAATTAATGTTTTGAGTGAGTTGTTTTGTAAAATATCATTTTTGTGTTTATAAAGTCTTATATTGAAAATTCTTGAGGTTCCTTCAATGTCTTCCTTATATGTGTGTTTCGTCAACTTTTGAAGTAATAATTATTCAACAAAGGTTTGTAAACTGTTAGTAGTGCTAGGAGTAGAATACGCTGCCTATAGATATGCCAGTGTGTACATATGCATTTTGACTTTTGATTTCATATGAAATGAATATTTCAGGATCAAATGTGCATACTGCAAAAATAAGTGGAACTTGGAGTAGAGTACACTGCCTGTAGATATGCCAGTGTGTACATATGCATTTTGACTTTTGATTTCATATGAAATGAATATTTCAGGATCAAATGTGCATACTGCAAAAATGAGGGCATGTTTCTCATGTCAATAGGAGATGAGAAAATAAGGAGGAAGCGTTTGGAAAAGGTAGAAAATCAAATATTATCTGAGGGGGTGTGAAAGGGAAAAGAAAGATTGAAGAAGAGCAGGTAGAATTTAAGAAGTTGAAAATATAAAATTAAAAACAAGTAGTTTAAAAAGAAAGATTGATAGGAAGGGATAGATTGGAGAAAAAAAAAATCAAATAAATTTAAACCCCTGGCCATGAAGAAAAATGAAACGGTCAAATTGAGATGGGTGAGCGATAAAAAGCAAGTACTGAAAAAAGAGAGAGAGAGAGATGAAGAAGGAAATAAAAACTTAGAGAGAGGGGTGAAAAACGGAGAACAAATGAAGGAAATAGAAACATAGATAGGGAGGCGGAAAAGGGAAAGACAAATGAAGAAGGGAGTAGAAACATATAGAGAGGTTTGAAAAAGGGAACAGAGAGATGAGGAAGGAAACAGAGTGCAAAAAAGGGAAGAGAGATGAGGAAGAAGGAAGTAGAAAATAGAGAGGGATGAAAAAGGGAAGAGAGATGAGGAAGAAGGAAGTAGAAAATAGAGAGGGATGAAAAAGGGAAGAGAGATGAGGAAGAAGGAAGTAGAAAATAGAGAGGGATGAAAAAGGGAAGAGAGATGAGGAAGAAGGAAGTAGAAAATAGAGAGGATGAAAAAGGGAAGAGAGATGAGGAAGAAGGAAGTAGAAAATAGAGGGGATGAAAAGGAAGAGAGATGAGGAAGAAGGAAGTAGAAAATAGAGAGGGATGAAAAAGGGAAGAGATGAGGAAGAAGGAAGTAGAAAATAGAGAGGGATGAAAAGGGAAGAGAGATGAGGAAGAAGGAAGTAGAAAATAGAGAGGGAAAAAAAAGGAAGAGAGATGAGGAAGAAGGAAGTAGAAAATAGAGAGGGATGAAAAAGGGAAGAGAGATGAGGAAGAAGGAAGTAGAAAATAGAGAGGGATGAAAAAGGGAAGAGAGATGAGGAAGAAGGAAGTAGAAAATAGAGAGGGATGAAAAAGGGAAGAGAGATGAGGAAGAAGGAAGTAGAAAATAGAGAGGGATGAAAAAGGGAAGAGAGATGAGGAAGGAAATAGAGATAGGGACAAAAAAAGGAACAGAGTAAATGAGAGAGAGGCTAAGGAGGAAAAAAAGCAAAAATAGACAGAGAAAGAGAGACAAAGAAGATGGGGAAAGAAATAAGGAAGGAAAAAACAAAAAAAAAACAAATAATAAGCTAAACTGGGATCAAATATGGATTGGAATCTGACAATAAGATAAGATAAGGAACAAATAGGAAATGTTTAACGTTTTGCTTTTATTAACAAAAAATAGAAAATGTTTATAAATTTAACAGGTTTCACTTTTATTAAAACTTCATCAGAGAATGATTGTTATAAAGAATAAGGAAAAAGAAACGAAGACAAAGACAGTAAAAGTGAAACAAAGAAAAAAGAGAGAGAGAGTGAGAGAGACAGGGCTGAAGCAAAAGAAACATATAAAGATGAAGAATGAAAAAAGAAAAGAAATTGAACTAAAAGTGTTGAAAAGAAGGGAAAGCAGGGAAGTGTGGGGGGGGGAAGGAGTTGAAAGAGACTATGTTCAAAAAGTGATTTTAGTTAAAGAAATTCTAAGACAATCAATAAAAATGCAGAAGCAGTTTATTGAAGAAAAGTTTTTATGATGTTAAAAAAGAAAGAAAACTACCTCCATCCTTCAAAATTAATAATCAAAAAAGAAAATCAAATCAAAAATTAGAAAAAAAACATTTAATTTTCAGAAAATCAAAAATTCTGTCAAAAACATATCAATTCAAACCATTTTTTTTTAAGTTGGGAGAAAAGCAATTTTTTTTTTTAAATCTGGTATTTTTAGTTTTTTTCATTTTTTTTTTTTTTTTAATGTTATTTATATTTTTCTTTTCTTTATAAGTTTTTTATCCAAATTTTCCTTTATTTTTTTTTTTAACTATTTTCTGGCATTTTTATTATTGTAATGGTCATTTTATTTTTTTTATTATTTTTATTTATTTGGGGTCGAAGGGAAGAAGTTGAATGAAGAAAGGGACAGTTGTGTTTATTATTTTTAGTTGGTGTTTTTGGCCATTACCTCCGCTTTAAAATGGACGATATTGACTTTACTCTGGAGAGGAAACCTTGGGAGAGAAAGTGTGAGATAGAGAATGAAAGAGAAGTTTTATATGAAAGAGTAACCGAGGGTGAGGAGGGGAGACATTCGATATGGTGATACACAGTGGGGGAGTGAGGAATCAAGGGAGAGGGGGGGGAATAAATAAGAAGTGATGGAAATGAGAAATTAGATTTATTTCCCCCCTTCCCTTTCAAGCTTGCAACTGTCCGCCAGTAATTTCTCTTTGATTGCATTCTCGGTAAATTTGAAGAATGTCGCAGATAGGAAAAAGATGAGAAATACTCTGACCAACAACAAACGAATGAAAATAGAAAATAATAAATGATAAAAGAAGCAAATAAAAGACATTCATGCAATGATTCATTTTCATTTAATTCTGTTATTTTAATTTTTTTCTTTTAAATTTTTGTTTTAACTTTTCTATGCTTCCTCTTCCCACATCTTGCTCCTTCTTGATTCCCCGTCTCTTGACCCCCCCTCCCTTATGGCCAATTTAAAACTCGGCTAAGATGGACAAAAAATTCGATATTTCCTTTTTTTTTTCTTCACCCCCCCCCATATTTTAATTTTATTTTTTTCTATTGTTGTTATTTGTAGGTGTGTGGACGCATTAAATATATCTTTATATAATAATAACCATTTTTTTTCTTTTAATTTTTTATTGTTCCTTCATTTTTTTTTTACCCATACATTTTTTTTTTCCTTTTTATGTTTCAATTTCCAATAAGTGTAGTTTGATGCCATCCTGACAATGATACAGAAAAATGCAATTAATATTTGCTGTTGAAGAACATTTGAAATTCACAGAATGGAGAGAATTAGTAAAAAAAAAAAAAAAAATGGCTCAGATTTCATTCACTGTTTTAATTTCTAAAAGAATAAAAAAAAAAAATGTCAGTCTTTTTAACATCTTTCCCTTTCAATGAATATAAGCCTGAATTTCTAAAAATAAATACATTCTTTTTTTTTTCTCTTTCAAGTTTTAAGTTAAATTCACTGAAACAAAAAGATGTTAATATTTCTAAAATCATTTCTTCCTTAATTTTGTGATAAACAAGGAAAAAGTAAATGGAAAAGAATACATAATGTGCTACTGTAATGAATCGAGAAAAAAGTCATAAATTTGGTTTGTGGGAAGGACAATGGTCTTGTGGGAAGGACAAAGCTCATAAAGGATATGAGTAATATTTTCATGAAAAAATTTTCAGCAATTTTTACCCTTCATACCAAAAATTAAACAGTGTCAAAAGGACATTTTTTTCCTTGATACCACTATTATTATAACTACCTTCAATTCTCAGCATTGTTTATTGCTTTAAAAAGTGATGATTAAAACTGGAATGAAACCTAAACATACGATGAAATTTATACATCTTTTTTGTTCTTGAGAATTTACAACAAAATATTAAACACTATTTATTTATTAGATTGTTTATTTACAAGAATAATTTTTTATATATAACATTCTAAAAACTATATTTATCATTTACCAATTTATAAAAAAATATGCAAACAATTTTTTATTCATAAATTTAAAAACATTTAAAAAATATTAAAATGGGAACCAACTATAAGTAAATCTTTATTATTTACCATTTTATAAAGTTTGAATCAATTGGTAATTAGCCAATGTTTTGCCAATGATTCAAATAAACAATTTAATGAATAGTGATTATTATTTTTCTTGAAATTCTCAAAAACAAAAAATTTATAAATTCAAATCATCATATGTTTAGGTTTTATTACAATTCTAATTACTGTTTTTTAAAAACAGTAATCAATTCTGAGGAGTGAAGGTAGTTAAAATAATAGTGGTGTCAAAGGAAAAACCTTCCTTTTGGAAACTGGTTTTTGTGATTACGAAGGTCTAAATTTGCCAAATTTTCATTAAAATTTAATTTATTTGATATATCTTAATTAAATAAAGGTGATTTCTTTCTAAAAAAATAAACGGGATGGGGGAGTAACTGAGCAGTACTAAATAAGAATTAGATAAGCAGGTAAACAAAAACAATCCACCCCTCCTGTAGATTAAATAAATGGTTCCTTTCAAAATGGTTCAAAACTGGTTAACCAGTTTAAATATTCACCTGTTGAAGGCCAGAGGGTACAATGGCTGAAATGTTGTGATAACAACAACAAAGATGAGGATAATAATCATGTAAATAATGTAAATTAAATAAAAGTAATTTATTGTAATGAAATAGTTATATTTTAAGAAACTGATTGAAACTACTTAAATAGAGTGGGCTATTTTTAAAAAAGAAAATAGAGAAAATAATTTTTCACTATTTACATTATTCAAACATCTTTGTTGCCATGTTTATCACAATGTTTCGGCCGTTGTACACTCTGGCCTTCTTCAGGTGGTTGGAATATCAAGCTGAACCCTTTATTTCACTCACTGGGTTAGACTGTTCTAGTTCCACGTGCCATGTCTAATGGATGTCGGTTATCTCCTGTTAATTCCCCTTAATTCTCAATTGCCTTAACCAGCTATTGAACTCACACTCTTTGGGTCCTGTCACTGGATCTAACTAACACACTTATCCATGTGCCATGTGTCTTTGAGGATATCTGTTTATGAATTTCTGGGTATTATAAACCTAATGTCTTCAAAAACCTTTTTTTTACCAGTGCTCATATTGCAATTTTTGCTGTTATCATTGCATGTTTTTATCATGTTTTATTGCAATTTTTTTGTTATTATCACTTTTCTCTGGCACTCCTTATTACTGGTTCCCATATTGTATTCATTTCTATGCTTGGTCAGCTCAGGAGATTTTTGTGACCTAGCATGTGTGCTGATTCTTTAAGTTTACAAATTTTGCAATAATGTTCTTTGTCTATGATCTCAACTTGATCCCACAGAGGGTGGTGCTCTCCCTTTTCCCTCCATATGTGGTCAGCCATGCCTGATTTTCCACTCCCCCTCATGTTACAGCTTTCTGGTGTTCTTGAAGCCTTACCTTAAGTGGGCGGCCTGTCTCCCCTTTATATTCCTTTCCACAGCTGCATGGGATAGAGTACACGCAGTCTTTATTCATGTTCTCCTCTATAGTCCGAATAATGCAAATAGTGTACATAATATCTCATCTCAAACATAGACACATACTGAAATAATTTTTGTAGATTCAGTCAGTTATGTGCCATGCGTGATACATGCTTAGGTGATCATGTATCTTTCAATAGACAACTGATGAGGCAGTATTTTTTTCCAGCAGTAGGTTGCCATTTCTTTCTGCGGTAGACCAATTGCCATCCAAGGCTATAGAACCCAGTCTGTCCTATTTATCCATAGATGGGGAGAAAAGAAAAGGATTCATATCTTTCCCAAGGGTATTAGCACTTAAGTGAATTCGAACTCTGCTCTCCGATTCCTCAATTAAGCCGCTATCCTTTACTCCACTGTGCCTCCATCTGTAGATTAGCATTCCTTAGGCCACCAACTCTTGTCTGAAAAAATATTGATTTTTTTTAATAGGTGGATCAGTATATTTAAGGAGTGTCAACTGGTTTATTGAGCTGTCACTTTTATTACAATAAATTAAATAAGATTTTTATTGTCAGTATTTCATTTATTGGAATATTAATTAATTTATTATCATAAATTAAATATGACTTAAAGTAGAAAGAATCCCAAATGTTACTTTACTGCAATACTAGGAAATAAAAAAGTTTAAAAACAAAATTAATAAAAATACATGAATTTAAAAAATTAAAATGATAATGCATATGAAAGTTGTAAATCAAATGTGTTTGAAGTGAAATATAATTGTGTGTATAAAATAGCATTAAGTGCAGTTAAGTAACTTTTGGGCCACTTTAGATATTAAATCAATTAAAATATTACATTTTATTATTATTAAAATAAATAAAAAAGTCTTCCTTATTTTTCTTTGACTTTTTATATCGCCACAAACTAAAATTATAAATTTTTTTTCCTATGCTATTTTTTTTTCTCTTATAACAATTTTTGTGCAATGATTAAGATTTTATATATTTAAATGTCTACAATTGCAATCAATTTTTTTAATCTGATCTCTTCATTTTAAATATAGCTAAATCATTTGTTAGCTTTTTGAATTCATTTATTTCAAAGGTATTCAAATAAATCACAATTTTATTAATTCAAGCATGTTGTTAAATGGCTTCATCAAAGATTGATTGATTGTTTAGTGGCATATCAACAACTCTATGGGTTATTTAATACCAAAATCTAAATATTTTGTGTACACATTTCTGCTTTCAACTACAGATGTTTTGGACGTAATTTTATACTTTCAAAGTAAACGTTTGTTAGATAAAATGTACTGTTGGTAATTGTATTATAAAAATGTGCTGTCGGTTTTTATTGATGGTGGGGGGGTCGTTATTTGCCCATAGCTGGGACCCTAACAGGTGCTACCACCCTAGGTCAGGGTGAACCTGGGAACAACAGCAGTTAAGAGGTGACAAGAATTAAATAATTTCTATTTATTCTTTTAAAAAATAGCTTAGAGATCTTTTTATGCACAATACATATTTGCAAAGTAATATTATTGGTCAAATGTTTTCTAATCTATATCTAAAATGAAGTCTCTGCTTGTTGTTTATCTTTGTTCTAAAATGACATTTTTTTGTTTTGTTTTTTTTTAAAAGATTTTTAGAAAATATATTATTACAAAACTTTAATTGAATAAATTATTCTTATTTAAAATTAAATAAAAAATGTTCTTGTCTTTGTGAAGAAAAAACTTTAAAAATTTAAAAATCCATATAATTTAATATTTAATAAAACAAGCAAATTAAATTTATAGTGAACACATTATTAGAACATATTCTGTTAATTAATCAGTTCCAGACACATTTTTTATTAAGGATGTATGGTAGAGTAATGGACAGCGGCTCAAATTGAAGAACCGCAGAGTCGAGTTCAAACTCCAGTCGGATCCATTGCTAATACTCTTGGGAAAGGTATGAATCCTCTTCTTCTCCCCCTAGCTATGGGTAAATAGCAGTACTGGGTTCTATAGCCTTGGGTGGCAACTAGTCTAGAAGAAGGAAAAACTGAATTCAAAACTGGCCTCGGCTCCATCAGGCTATGGGGCTTCTTTCTCATTAGTTTAACCTACTTAGAGAGCCCTTTTCCTCCTCCTCTTACAAAATATCCGTAAAATCTTTCAAGATGGAAATGAGGAAGAAGGTTTACTTCAACTTGGAATATAAGACTCTGAAAAGCATAATAACCGGC